ACCTACAGGCAGTCATCATCCAACTCAAGATGGTGATTTATACTACAGTTCTGTTAGTTACACCCACTCGCCACAGGCAGACAGCACACACATGAATTTATATTAGTCAGTTTGTGTCCTCAGGTACTTTGCAAAATACTCCTATCATACAACCCTGTCTTTTCCCAAGCCCCTTTGCTAGGACTTCTCAGATCTAGGTCAGCATTAGTGAATTTCCTCTCTGAGAGGCCAGGGCTATCATTTCAAGATACCAGCAGCAAAGAATGAAGAGGTAAAGAAGAATGAAAACTAGTATTTCCATATCACTGGTATATAAGCCAAGAAGGCAATTCCAGATGAGGAATTTAAAAATATTCTGAGACTTATATTTAAACACAATAGCTTAAATACATACTTTATCTTTGCTGTTTCTTAAAGCTTAATTAAAATGAGAGCAAGGAATAAAAATTAAACCACAAGGATAAACAAAATGGGATGAGGATAGTAAAAGTGAGAGATGCTAATAAAATTTTAGAAGCAGGAGTCAGATACACAATGGGATAACTGATTTTAGCAGACCAGAAAAAGCTAAAGCCTAACCCTGAAATGGATAGATGGGCAACCAACAAACTAGCAAGCCCATTAGTGCTGTTGGACCCTGAAACACTCTGAGAATTGAAGGTACTGATTGTTTTTAAAGATGAGTATAGGGTGTATTACAAAAAAGAGGCCTGGTTAAACATTTTTAAAGGGCTCAATTAAGACTCACAGATCTTCTTCTCCAATACTTACAATCAGGCTTTTGTGTCTTCCCAACTCAAAAGGTGAAGTTAATCTTTGGTGAGGCTGAACTATTGAGGACCTAGAACCAGGGGCTTTAGTCATAGGTGAGATGTATGAAAACAGAGGGATTAGAAAAAATCTGCATAAATGGTAAGATCTTCCAGTCTCTGTTCCTAGTGTAGCTCTCCGAGAGCTGACAGAATATTGGTCAATTCCACTCTGGAAAAATTTACCAATCTAAGAGAAAAGACCTATATATGTGTTCACATGTGGGGGTCTCCTAGTAAAAAAGCAGACTGGTGTCTTCTCATCACAATAAATCCATCAGTTTATAAGCCCGCCCCAAGTACTTCCAAACACTTTTCAAATGGACAACCAAAGACCACCAGACATTTGCTATTTACTATGACAGAGAACAAAATTACAAAACAAAAAAAGAAATAGGAAACAGAAGAACTGAACAAAACAACAGTAATAACATAAAAATAAACAAATGAACAAAACCCCCTATCCTCCCCTAGATAGAAAATATACCAAGCTATAATCAATTCTTAGAGAAGACTAGATTTTGCATCCCTGAAACAAGAATAG